AGATTCTGCATATACCCTTGAGTTGCTTTGCTAAGTGAAAAAAGTTTGAGAAAGAATTTATGCCTGGAGACCCTTTGCTTTGGGTTCCCCTGTATCATACTCATCTCGAACTACTGGTGAGTTTGAAGCGTTGGTCAGGTTTTGCCCAGCTATCTTGTCAGGGGTGAGACATATGGGTCCTCCTAGTATCCCAGTGCTAATGTGCCCTCCTTTCGATTTGCAGCGGAAGGAGAGACCGCTGAAATCACTGAGCTACCCAGGGAGTTTCAGTGTCTCAGGGTCCCTAAAAGAAGGAGGTCTTAGAGCTCCTTGTTCTTCTGCTGCTTCTGGCAGTGGGCAGCATAGGCCTCTTGCACGGAGCAGGAGCGTAGGTCTAATCAGAGCCCTCTGTGAACTGCTTTAAGTAGTTGATACAAAGAACCATTTTTGCTGCATTAATGTGTGGTGGTGGTGGTGTTGTCAGGTCAGTTGATTTAATTTAATGGCCATCATTAAAGGATACTGAATGTCAGAGCTCCAAGGTGTAAGCACTGGGGCTGCTTGGCTGGTGGCTGGAAGGAGGAATTGCCAAGGAAGGTTTCCTCTTTTGAGCAGTGTTGGGCTATTAAGAGGTCTTGTGGAACAACATCCTGAGGTTGCAGGCACCATTAGTTTCTGGCTGCCTTCAGCCAGCCCATTCCTGGCTGTCTCCTTTGGGAATGACGAGTCCTGCTGTGAGGCTTTGATAGATGTGTCAGTCTGCTGCCTGACTGCAGGCTGGTTTTGTTCCTTTGGAGAGAGCTGGTGGAGCTGAGCTTGGGGGTAGTTGTGTCCCCTGACACTGAAGAGCTTCTTGGAGGCAGAGAAACCTGAAGCAAAACGCTTCAGGGGAGTTTGTGTTGTATTCCTAGGAAGCTGTGTAACCCTGCATATACATACTTTTCAGTGTATTGTTAGACCTATATTGTTTTGCAATAAAAGATTTTTTTTTTAAATACATTTTAATACCCACTTTTAACAGCGTGGGAATGCTGAACACTATTCTCAGAGGCATCTAAAACTTCTAGATTGCCAGAGTTGGTTGTGCTGTTTGACCTGAGCAACTGACCAGCTCTATCACAAATTCATGAAAATCAACAGAGGATTTAAGTGGTTTTTATTTTATTAACTAATTAATTATTTTTTACTGAGATATGGAGAGATGTGCGCTGATATTTAAATAAAAATAAATGTTTACACGAATTGGTTTTGTGTTTACTCTTTCAGGGTTCCTATGTAGTTTTCTTTTTCTTTCTTTAAAAGATTTTCATCATGTACACCAAGCATCTCTTGTAGCCTTTCCACCATGGTGTTTAGCCATCTAAAGAGACCTCAGGCACCTTGGTTTCTGACCTTGTCAAAAAATAAAGCTGTGGGCCCAGAGGCTGTCACTGGCAGGGGCTGGAGGACGTGTGCTTGCCAACTGGCTCAGGAAGAGGTGTGCGAGGCTGGGTGAGTGCAGGGTCCTCCCTTCCCACGTTTGTCCTTGTGGTTTAGCCAGCAGCTCCTGAGGCAGAGGTAGCTGGTGCTCTTCTGTGAAATTTCGTGCTGGATCTGTTCTCAATTTATCTGATCATGTTTTGAATGCACTTTAGATTTGAATAATGAGGCAGGATATTTTTTCAATGTTTACTTTATATGAAGAAAGCACTCCCTAACTGAGATATATGCTTGTGTGTGTGTGTATATATATGTGTGTGTGTATATGTGTGTATGTGTGTGTATATATATATATATATATATATATGCACAAATATATGTGTATTTGTTTTTAAGGTAACAGTCTTTTTACATTGAGGTGTTTCCAGTTCTGATTTTCAAGGGAATACTGGGTGAGCCTTCCCAAGTTATTTTTCCCATAACACTTCAGACTCTCTTCAGGTACATTTACAGGACCTAAAGGGTGCTGAGAAACAACAAGCGAATTTAAAATTGTGATATAAAAGGTAGGCTGGCAGTTAGAAAAGGGTTTTACTATTAAGGATGTGAAGTCCTGGGAAAAAGTTACCTCAGGAGCATATAATCAGCTCTTAAAATGGAGCTTCACTGAGTTGTGAAGGAGATTATATATGAAGTCCTTGTCTGTGATAGCAGGGAGCAGGATTTGAGTCTAGCCTGATATGGTTCTGTGTAGCTGGATTTAGAAGTAATTGTGATGTAATGTGTGGAGACTGGGCTAGGGAATGTAAAAAAACTACTGTAATATGAGATTTTTTTAAAAAAATACCAAAGTTATGTAAAATACATGCAATATTATTTGTTTGACTTTTGATACAACCTCTGTAAAGGTCTCTAGGCTATCAGTCTTTTTAGGTAGTGGACTTTCTTTGCTTTTCAGCTATCTTAATTGCCTTATGATATAAAATAAGAGTTACCATAGTTGAGCTCAAGGAATGTTTAAGATGCTGAGAAGAAATAGACTTTCATTCTCACTAGAAGCAGGGTATTTCTGCCTTCTCTTGACCTAGGGGATCTGTTGCTCTGAGCCCTAGGTCTTCATTCATAGATTGTTTTTTTTCTTTAAAGCCATAAGGAATGATTGCATCACTTTCCTTAATCTATACTCTATCAGTAGCCTTTAAATTTCTTTGTGTTATTCTCTTATTGAGCCAGGCATTGTATGTTTCACATAAAGATTTCTTCCCCAAAGATTTCTGGTAATGATTTGAATAAGGGCATGAAAAATATAGAATCACTTGCTTTCCTTTAGAATTTATTCCATTCATGATTTTCTCTGTTTAATAATAATAATAAAAAAAACACTGGGGTATTTTGCTACTTACTGAGTGAAGTATATATTAAATATAAGATTTCAACCCTTAAAGAAGGACATGTGATAGCCCTGTAAATTACAGCTCAGTCAAATGGATAAACAGGTAAATTAAATATTGCTGGAATACGCAATGACTAAGTATTCAAGTGTTGTTGAAGAAGATCTGTGTGTTTAAGTCTCTTTGTCCATTTGATGGTATTGAGCAGGGTCAAGTTGTGTGATTTAGCTTTCATGTGGCCGTTTTACTCCATGGCAAATTTAGTGTGCATGTGCTCCCTCTAGTGTCCTTTAAACAATTGAGAAAATGCACAAGTATTAATTGCTCTAAACATTGCTGCTTTTAGTTCTTTTCCATAAGAATTCATTTAAAGATACTTTGTTTGAATTGAAGTCTAGAAAGATGTCTTTCAATCTGTAAAACCTAGTTCTACTAAGGAAAAAAAAAATAATAGGTAATCTTTCCTTGGCTTTTTTTAAAGCCTGATAATATAGCTTCTACCTTACAGTTAGATCTCTTGTATTTGTAACGAAGGGGAGCCCATGGCATCGTGGAAATAGGAAGCCAGTATTGACAGTGCATCTGCTCTGCCGGATGCTCTCGCAGTCAATCTGAGCCCACCCCGTCTTTAATAGGCCCCTTTCACCTTGGGCTGGCTTCGTGCGCAGTCTCCGTTAGGTGCTCGGTGCTTAGTTGTTCCTGCGGGGGGTGGTGGTGTTTTTCCGGGTGTATTTAGAGATGGGCTGCGCTCCGGAGGGGTCGGAGCCG